CATAGGTCACTTTTTCATACATTTTCATACAAAAATCACGGGTAACCAACTTCCATTTAAATATTGCGGGGTCCTTTGTTTACTTGAGAAATTCATCATTGGCTTTAAGATATTTTTAACCTGTTTATTTTATTAAAGTCACTGTAATATCTTTTTTTTACTACTAACCTGAGAAGTAGGCATTATTCCATCAATTTTTCAGGGGAAAAATTGAATTTCTCTCCCTAGGTTAATAATGAAAATAATGAAAAAATACCTAGGTCAATAATGAAAATGACGTCATGACGCAAGGATCAGCGTTGCCACCTCACGAAAATTAAATGTAATAGATTGAAGCCAAAATTGTAATAGATTTGAATTTTTGGTAATAGATTCTTTCATCTATCACTTCTGTCAGTTATGCATGACAGATGACCAAAATATTAGGCAATTTTTCGCGAGGAATACGAGGCTAATCAAGCATAGTCTGATTATGCTGGGTTATGTGATGTGTCAATTATTGTGTCATAGTCCCCTAACTTCGTCACCATCAAATTTGTATAGTGATGACGTCACTCGCAGACCTCGATGGAATGCTTGCGATTCAGGCTGTGCTAGTGTTTCGTGGATTTTAAATGTTGAAAAGGTGAATTTGGGTCTGACCTCACAGAAAAAATTAAGTGTTTCTGATCCTCGAGTATCCCAAAATTTCATGGTAGGGGAGTTAGAGGAGTATGACAGAATGGACACATGACATAATCCAGCAAAAGATTATGCTTGATTATGATTATCCTCGCGAAAAATTGCCTATTGAATAGGCGCTTTTTTTTCATCAATCTCTCCACCATTATATGCCGTATTTATTTTTATGCTGTGTTTTTATACTCAATTTACTCGCCTGTAGCATTTTTTAATTGCTTATTCACCAAAACATAATTTTCCCGAAAAAAGAATAGATTTTTTTCTTTGGTAATAGCGTAATAGAAATTACTTGATTGTAATAGGGGTGGCGACACTGGCAAGGATATTCTCATAACGTAACCAGGTTTCTATTGGTTTAATTTCAGTGTCAAACTGTCAATTCTAAAAAAAGTAGGTTCGTGTATGTACATTATAGGAGATTACCGTAAGCTGTTGATAGAGGGCAACACTTCCGACAAGAGAAAATAATTTGAGCTCATTTCAAACCTATTTTTTATTTTCTACTAGCAGTAGTGAAAAAAATTCTATATATTCCTCGGTAGAGAAAGTCATTATAAACCTTACGCATTATAAAAGCGCTCGGTATATAATGACCAACTTCTCTACCTAGGTATATAATGTACTATTACTACCTACCTATAGTATTGTACTGCTTGCAAATTTCATTGAGAAACCTTAAATGCTTCTAGTGGCGTAGCAAGCGGGGGGCGGACCGCCCCGGGCGCCACTTTTGGGAGGGCGGCAAAATTGCCGCTTCTTGTACCCTTCAAGACTTGACTGTACCCAACATCATTATTGAAATGAAATAGTGTATTACATTACGAGTGTAGAAAGTGACAAATTTCACACGAGTGTTTTTTCGCGCGAGGCGGTAGCCGAGTGCGAAAATCACACGAGTGTATGAAAGACGCTTTCTCACAAGTGATGAACACCATTTTTCCCACGACCAAAAACCGATTTACACCAATTTTCTTTTATTTTATTCCTTTTCATTTTCAACACACGTGCTAAAAGTACTTTCAATACACGTATTGAAAGTATATTGTGATGTCAAATGTCAATCACAAATAATGTCAACAGAATTTTCCACACATGTGCTGAAAGTATTTTAAGCGCGTGTATTGAAAGTTCTTTCAGTACGCGTGTGATATTTAGCGCTTTCCAAAGAACTAGTTAGTGCGGATTTTGTCATTTTCGTATATGGTCGTAGGAAAACTTTTTTAGACGCGTTTAGCAAAACAAAACGAATTGTTAACGCTCATTCGGTCGAATACAGTCAGCTCGAGTCGAGTTCAGCCAAGCGAGAGAAAAAAAACTGTCAGCAATGCGCGATTAAGATTCAATCGCGACTCTCCCTAAAACAAATTCCGGCGACGTTGCCGATATGATTGGCAAAATATTAATTGCTTGTAATAGGTTTGTCTGGTAATAGCAAACAGAAAACGCCATCAGGTGGTTTTTTGGACATTTGCATCAAGGTTGTTTGAGAGAGGTAGGTTGCCTGATAAATTTCATGACGTCATCTGTATGCCTAAACATAATGCAAATCTCCATAAGGCACCCCAGAAGCGACATCAAGTTACCCATTACCAGACCAAGGTTCCTTAAGTTAATAGGTAACTTGATAATGGGCAACTTGATGACACATCTGGGGTACCATATGGAGATTTGCATTAGTTTTGAGGCATATAGATGACGTCATTATCAGGCAACCCACCTCTCTCAAACAACCTTGTTATCAGACAAGCTGTTAACTTTAGGAACCTTGCATTTGCATTAAGTTTAGGCATACATATAACGTTATGAAAGTTATCAGGGGCGGGATTCTCAACCTCTTGTCGAAACCTATCGACCCGACTATCCGCATCGCCTTTTTACAAGTGGTCGGGACTTTACGTATCGACAGATTGAGAATCCTACCAGAACTAGGACTCTGTAACGAATAAAGATATTTTCTCTATCTCTATTGACGTCACCTCTATTGATTTCGAAAAGAGAGAAGAAGACAGTAAGTGCCATAGCGATAAGGATAATGATCTCTATCCGTTACAGAGTCCCAGCACTGGAGAATCTTACCAGAACTGGGCAGCCTACCACTTTTAAACAACCTTGATCCAAACCACAAATGCCAGGATTCAATATAGCGGCAATTTGACTATCCAAGATGCTGTCAAACTTAAATTAAAATGTCCGCCAAGAGGCACACATACCATTTGTTTGCTTGTCAAAGTCACGTATTTTGGATAGGCTAATTGTCAAGCATCTGTGATGTAATTTTTGAAGTTTTCTCAGCGAACGAAATTTGACAGATGTCACGTGAAAAAAGATAAGTGATCACGTGACGTCTATCAAAATTTGCTCTTTTTGCTCTTAGATGCAATTACCGAACCCAGTCCGTATTTTTTTTTTATGACGTCAAAGGGGCGGCAAATTATGATTCCGCCCCTGGCGACAATAGCCCATGCTACGCCACTGAATGCTTCCTCATTGCTCTAAATCTGTCTGAAAGCCAAGTAATGCCATTCGACTAGAATAACTCTTCTCTGGTAAAGACTTCAAAAATGTCATAAATTTAGTAAACTTATCATTTATATTTATAGATATATTTACATGTTAACAAAACCCCAGAAGTTATTTGATAGTGAGACCTATCATTACCTACGGAGCGGTAGCCTGGTACAGCCGAACCCAGCTAGTAACGGCTAGGAAAACCCTAGGAAAGGTACAAAGACTCGCATGTCTATGTATAACAGGAGCAATGAGAACAAGCCCAACTGCGGCAATGGAAGTCATCCTAGACCTAACACCACTTCACACAATAGTGAAGCGGGTTGCCAGTGAATCATGTCTAAGACTGGCAAAGATAAGTCTACAAGGGAAAACGCACTTTGGCAGAGCTTTCCCTTTCCCAAACTGTACACACCTCATGGACTTACCAAAAGACGCGCTTGTTGATAAATTCAGTTTCGAGAAAAACTTTTCATCGAACTAAGTACAAAGAACAGATGGAACATGGAATGTATCCAGTCCCTTAAAGCAAACACCATCAAATGGTTCACAGACGGAGCCAATTGGCAAATCACCAAGCATATTCCAAGCCGAACTTCATGCGATCGGAAAATGCGTGCAGTTCAACCTGAACAGAAGGTACCGAAAACGAGAAATTGTAATAATGTCTGACAGCCAAGCACCTATCAAAGCATTGAGCTAGCCGGTAATCAATTCTAAGATAGTATGAGAAGGTCTACAGAAACTCAATGAGCTGGGAAAGGAAAACAAAGTAAACCTACTATGGGTTCCTGGACACATAGGTGTCGAGGGCAATGAATGCGCAGACGAACTTGCAAAAACGGGAGCGGTCACTCCCTTCAATGGGCCAGAACCATTCTGCGGCGTCGGAAATGCGCACCTCCAAGAAATCCTCAAAAAGGAAGAGAACCGGCTAAGGAACAAACAATGGCTAGACCAACCAGAACTACGACAGGCCAAAGATCTATTGGGTAGCTACAACCAAAAAAGATCGGAACTGGTGGTCAACCTCAGCAAGAAAAGTCTCAAAACTCTAACCGGGTTTCTCTCGGGATATTGCAGACTGAATAAGCACATACATAATCTGGGGTTGGAAGAAGATAACACTTGCAGATTTTGTGAAGACGGCGAAGAAACATCTCACCATCTTCTACTGAACTGCGATGTCGTAAGCCGCTCAAGAATGAAGATCTTGGGAAGTCCCCTTATACAGCTGGAAGACATTCCAGCCCTGGAACCGCTAGACATCCTAAAATTCCTAAAGGACCTAGGACTAAAGGGGCTGCTTTAAGCAGGAAACCCGAACTTAGCAGCAGAAGGAGGGGTACAATAGATCAACCTTGGTCGCAGTGCAACTGACACCTCCAACACATACATACATAATATTAAAAATCCTTCACGAGTACCGGTAATAGATAAAAAAATTCACCCACTATGACTATAATTTGATTCAACAAAAATGAGCCACTGTATAAAGATACAGAGTGATCAATATTTTATTATTCCTGGCCCTTGTCAGAAATCTTCCACGAAAGCTGGCAATCGAAAACAATTCCACCACTATGTAAAGATACGGGGTGATCAATTTTTTATTATCCCTGGCTCTAAATGTAGAAAATCTTTCACGAGAGCGCCGGTAATAGAAAAAAATTTTACCCACTGTAATTTGACCCAACAAAAAAAAGCCACTGTATAAAAATACAGAGTGATCGCTTCTATTATAGCTACTGTACAAAAATTCATGAAAATTTTGTATTTTTCAATAATTTTCATGAATGTTGTTTTTTCAGGGCTCATTTACGATGGCACACCGGCGAAAGACCTTTCGTGTGCACCTGGCTGTTTTGCGGCAAACGATTCACCAGATCTGACGAATTGCAACGGCACAGGCGCACTCACACCGGAGAAAAACGGTTTCAGTGCAATGAATGCAACAAGAAGTTTATGAGATCTGATCATTTATCAAAGCATTTGAAAACGCATCAGAAACAACATATGAAGGTACGAAATATTAATATTTTTTTTATAATCCAAACCAATACCAGCCCTGGGACTCTGTAACGGAAAGACAAATTTCCTCTATTTCTATTGACATCCTCTCTCTATTGATTTTGAAAAGAGAGAAGAAGACAGCAAGTGCCATAGCGATAGGAATAAGGATCTCTATTCGTTATAGAATTTGTTTAAAAAGCTCTATTCAAGTGAACAAACTTTAATAATTTTCATTACAGCAAGACAAAGATCAAGACGACGAAGAAGTTTGGGAAGTGCAAGACGAATCAGAACCTCAGCAAGAAGAACAAAAGCCTCAGCCAGTTTGGATAACCGATAGCAAAAATAACATCAAATATGCCATCACTCATTTGAACTACTCTCAAGTCAGTAATTCAAATAATTCTTATTTATTTCATATTAATTTTGATTATTTTCAGGAAGCGACTCCAACCACTCAACAATCAGTTTCTTCAGACAGTTCGAGTAATGAAGAAAAAATGATGATTACAATTAGTGCAGCTGACGCTGACGATCTCATAATTGCCGACTCTTTGGATAGCTGAGAAGACGCCTCCGTTTACATAGTGAACACTCAACTCAATTAGACAGATAATAATTTTTAATGTATCTAAAGCTTTGGTTCGTTTAAGAACCCAATAACCCTTTTCACATGACTCCGGTTTAACAAACCGCAACATACCGCTCAAATTCGAGTGGTAGGTATCCATCACGTCACTTTGTAACCGGGTTAGAAAACGGTATGTCATTTTTCTAACCGTTTTGTAACCCGGTTGGTTAAACTGGAGCCACGTGAAAAGAACTATTTGTATAGTATAATTAAAAAAATAAGGCTGTGATCGATTATATTGAATTTTTTAATTAGGCCTTCTGTATTGGTTGGTAACATTTGACCAAGTAGCAAAAAATTAGTTTATTTTACTTTTATAATAGAGAGTTATTGGAACTATTAAATACTGCCACGCAGTATTAAGGATCTACGTTATTTCATTAGTGCATCAGCACTATTTTTCCAAGAAAAAACAGTTATTGGAAGTGTCTAGTAGGTGCTAGAGTATTACCTTATTTTGTATTCATAATTTTGACAGCTGATAGTTATGTTTATAAATTTCAGCCTCAAAAAGTGTTTTATTTTTGTTTGTGATTTTCTGCTGATACCCATTTTTTGATGTTACCCACAGTAAAATGGAAAACTATTATAAAAAATAAATTTTCTAAGTAAAATTACGTCATCGTCGAAAAGCGAAACGTCAAAGTCGTCCAAAATGTCAGAAATTTGAAATAAGGGAAGTTTACTGCCTCGCACTAACCATGCACAAATAAAGACAAGCAGTAACCTTAATAAGGGAATCCTTAATTTCGGAGCCAAATGCGCATGCGTAGATGTCAAAATAAGGCTAATTTGAATACTGCTTGTCCTTATTGCACGTCCAATAACTCTCTAATATGTATAGGAACTTATTCCAGTTTTAGTTTGTAAATATGTATTGTATGTAAACAGAGTTAAATATACTTGAATTAAGTTTCAAATAAGAAACTTTACTTTTTTAAAAACTTTATTTTAATTAAAAGTAAAAGTAAAGTAACATATGAAGACTGGTGGAACTAGTTGCTGCTGCAAACCATGAAAGCAAAAGAACAATTGTGCATGGCTGCACCGCTTTTTATAAACAATAAATGCAAGTTAGCAATATTCACTAAAAACGTCAACAATGTGATGTCATCGTAGGCGAGCAATTGGTATGCTTCTTAAAACAATAGATTGATTGACTAATTTAACATTAGTCGATATGGGAATCGTTCAATATAACTCCTCCCACCTTAAGATGTTGCAAATTCGGGTTGTTTTGATTGATGACCCAAATCTGACAATTCGATTTGCACATTTGTTGAAGTTTTCTTCTTTTTACAAAAATAGTATGCTGAAACTAAAAATATGATTACAATGCTTAAACCTATGATTATATAAGTATTAGTATAATTGTAAGAATAGTTAAGTTCTTTCAAAGGTTGAACTTCTAACTTCTTTGCTTCTTCCAGGGCTTCTTGAAGTGTCTCGTGGTTTAATTCTTTGATCTTGAGCGTAGTAATATTTTCTGCTAGATCTGCTATGTCCATTTTTGGTATTTTCAATTCAAAGTTGAAATTTTCATTTATCCTTTTGAATGTCTGATTGTTTATTGTTATCCGACAAGTATCGAGAGTGATTAGAGTCGGTTTCATCAATATGTCCATGTGACTAATTTTATCACATTTGGTAACAATGGTTTGACTCTTTTTGGGTATGATCAATAGTTGACCATTCGGGAGTTGTTTAGTTGTTGGTTCTTCGTAATGTATTTTTACGAATGAGCACTTCTGTTGTCCGTCAGTAATTAGACTGTAGACGCATGGTTCTTCTTGTTTAAGCATTTCTTGGTTACACAAGTATATGTTTTCGACTCTTGGGCATTCCCATTGGATATTATAATATGAGTCCGTAGTAAGTATCAAGTAAGGGAACTTAATTCTAACCGTGAGGTTTTGGATTGGGATAGGATATAATTTATACCAAAGAAAAGGTCTTGGGTCAATAATAGGTGTATAAATTACAAATATTATAAGTTCGTTTTGGATTTTAACTGGTGTTTTCATAGTTTCAAAATATTTGATTACGTTGTCAAATGGAATCTGCTGTTGTTTAGGTATATTATGCAGTATTTGATTCAGTTCATTATGTTGAAGGATCGTATAATGCATAACTCCTAGCTGTGCGAAATTAATAGCAAGTTGAATATGATCTATTAAATTTTGTATCTTATTACTTTGCATGTTTATGTTATTCAATATCAAATTGAAGTTTAACATGGTGTGAAAATTATGATTTTCATTAGTAATATTATCAATTTTCTCTGCTAAGAGCTTTTGATTAGCTTCAACATTTAAGAATTGGTCATGGAATGTTTTTGTGACTTTCCTTAGTACTTGTGCTTGTTTTTCTAGATTTTTATTGATAGTACCTTGGTTTTCATTTAAGATTTGAATATATGAATCGTATCTAGCACCATCTCTGAATCTAAAGTACCATAGAGCCATTTCTGAGCTGTTCCCATAAAATTGAGAAGTCCTCTTTTGCTTCTTTTATTACCAATAGTCTTAACCGTTTATTTCATTAAGTCTACTTGTAATTGACTTGGTTCAATGTTTGTTTGGAACAGAGTGGACCATGTTGTTTTATTCAACATCTGTGTTAATTGATATAATGAACTCAATGTTGTTTCTAATTTGTGTATTCCTTGTAATATGATAGTTGTATTGATATGATAAAACGCAGTATTGTGTTGTATGGTCATATAAGTATTTCCTAAGGAAATTGGTAAAATTGGATTTTCCAACGAGGTCATCGTATAGGCGTGGGCAATTCCTATTACCATAAGGGACGTTAGGACGTTCATTGTCTTTCACCTGAAATAGGATATTGTCTCTTTACATTTTGTTTACTAAAATGTCTTTGTGTTTGTTTATCGTATCGTGGACTTATTTTGTTTCTATTGAATTGCTTTACATAAATTGGGTTTTGCAATTCGGGTTCAATTTCTCGATTCTCATTACGTTTTTCGAGTACTTTAGTTTGTTTTGATGTTAATTTATTCTGAATTTCTCTATTAAGAGTAGCTAATGAGTCCGCTAGATTATTAATATAATCAGTAGTTATTTTATTTTCTGTTTGTTCAATTGGAATTGCATAATTTAAATCACCCTTAATTATTTGAAAAGGAGTAAACTCAGTTGTACTGTGCGTACTATTGTTGTAATTTAAAATTGCAATTACCATTAAATCGATAACATTTTTTGTTGGGTTTTGAAGTTAAAGAGTTGTTAAACTTTCGCGTAAAGTTGAATGAAATCTCTCGATTTGGCTATTAGAGTTGGGATTTCTAGGTGTTATGTAATGAAATTCAATATTGTGTAGTGTACAAAGGTCAGTTATAATAGTGTTTTTGAACTCAGTACCATTATCTGAAGTTATTTTCTCGGGGATTCCGTGGTCACTAAAATATTTTAGGAGTTGTGATGTTATTTCAACAGCTGTTTTAGTATTAACGGGAAGGGCTTGGCCAAATTTTGAAAAACTGTCTATAATCGTTAAAAATTTTTGATTATTACTTATGTACGTGTCAACATACAAATGTTCAAATGGTTTTGAACCAATTGGTGTAGGTTTGAACATTATTTTGTACGGGTGTCGTTCATATTTGGTCTTATTGCATATCTCACATGCTTTAACGTATGTTTGTACATCTTTCTCGATGTTCAGCCAATAAAATCTTTTCTTTAGTGCCGCTATGTTTTCAGTTATTCCTCTATGGGATGTCTTTGTTTCATGATACAATTTTAGTTTCTCTTGTTGTTCATCAATTTCGGCTACGTCTTCGACTAGCGAGTTAGATATATACAATTTAAATGAATTTGCATTAAATGCTGACTGCAAGGCTCGTAATATTATAGGTTCTAGTGTCTTATTTAGAAAATGAAGACAGTATGTGTCAGGGGCCATATATTCTTTAACTAAACTGACTATTTGGTCATTTGATGGATTATTTGGTAGAAAGAATATGATTCTCTTTTTATTAGGAAAAGGCTTAATAATTTCTTTCCTAATTGTATTATTATTTGAGTAGCGAAATATTACTTGATTAGGGAAGAGATTCACATGTTTCTTCGTATATGGAGCACCTATAATTGGATTTTCCAAGGATGTATGTATAGTTTGTTCTTCCGAAGGTGTCGATATTTTTTCTTCATCTTCTGAGTTTGTCGAGTTTGTCCTTTGTTTAGGTTTTATTGTAAGGGTTTTTTCTTCTTTATTATATATTTTTGAACATTCTCCCTGTTCTATTGGAATTTCTTTCTTCTTCTTTGGAGGGATAATTACTTGTGAAATTATTTTAATCTTTGGTGCATTTTCTTTTTCAGATGCAGTTTTTGTTGATTCAGTGTGGTCTGATGTTGGTTTGCGCAGATATGGTTTTGATTCCGTGAAATATTTTCTAATTATTTCATCATTACATAAAGGTGTGTCTCTTAACATATCTCCTAATTTATTGTGAAATTCTTCATCAGTTTGTGCTGTTACTTTCGCATCAGGATCTGATGATGATGAGGTTTGAAGTGTATTTATTTGTAAAGGTGGTCTTGATAAAGCATCCGCGTTAATGTTAAGGGTTCCTTTTTTATATTTAATTTCATAGTCAAATTCGGATAACTTAAGTCGCCATCTTACTAATTTAGAAGTTGGTTCCTTTACGTTGAATAACCACTGTAGAGGTTTGTGGTCCGATAAAATAGTAAATTTTCTTCCGAAAAGATACGGTCGGAAGTATTTGGTTGCCCAAACAATTGCTAAAAGTTCTTTCTCTATGGTTGAGTAATTGCATTCTGCAGGGTTCAACGTACGACTTGCATATGCGATAGGAAGGTCAGAGCCGACAGGGCCTTGAGATAACACTGCTCCTATGGCATAATTTGATGCGTCAGTTGTTAAAAGAAAAGGTCGATTAAAATCGGGGTGTTGTAATACGGGATCATTTACCAGGATATTCTTGCATGTTTCAAAACTTTTTATAAATTCCACATCATGAATTATCTTCTTGTCCTTTTTCAAGCATACCGTCATTGGTTTCGTTAATTTAGCGAAATTCTTAATGAATTTTCGGTAGTAACCTACTAATCCTAAGAAAGATTTTATCTCTTTGACAGTTCTTGGAATTGAAAATTCCTTTATTGCCTTTATTTTGTTCGGATTAGGTTTTATACCGTTTGGCGTTATCACATGTCCTAGAAATTCTACTGTTCTTTGTAAAAATTCAGACTTATCGAGTTGAATTTTTAAATTATATTGTTGTAGTCTTTCAAATACTTGTTTGAGGTTTTTCACATGTTCTTGAAGTGAAGTCGAAAATATGATGATGTCATCCATATATACAAGACATATTTTGTTTTGCAATCCAGATAACACATTATTCATCGCTCGTTGAAAGGTTGCTGGTGCATTTTTAAGTCCGAATGGCATTCGAGTAAACTCATAGTGTCCATATTCAACATTAAATGCCGTCTTAGGTATAGAGTTGGGGTGCATCTCTACTTGATAGAATCCAGATGCGAGATCCAATGTTGTGAAATAATTGCTTCGTCCTAATTTATCCAGTAAATCTGAAATGTTCGGTATTGGGTACCTATCGTCAATAGTTTTCTCGTTGACTTTGCGATAATCCACTACCATTCTCCATTTCTGTATGCCAGAAGCATCTTTCTTTTTTGGCACTATCCATACTGGTGAGGACCATGGGCTGCACGAGGGTTGAATTATATGTTCATCCAACATTTTTTTTATTTGTTGGTTAATCTCGTTTTTATGTATATGAGGATACCTATAAGTTTTTGTATGGACGGGTATTTCATCTGACGTTCTGATTTCATGTTTAACCTGATTCGTGAAGGTTAACTTATCATCGGGTTTATGAAAAATCTCCGGAAACGCCCGTACTAC